CCGTCCCAGGTGACGTCCCTGCACTCTGCTTGAGTTTATGTGATTTTGGTGTCTTTGACCTGTGGAAATGTCCACAAATATTCATATAATACATTTTATAGATGTTTCAGAAACTTTGGATCCCATCCATTTGAGCATAACGAGTGTCATATGTTTGTATCTGTTCATGTAACTCACCAAATGAATGGATTCTTGAGAAAGTCAATATAAATGAAAACTCTGGCAAACAAACGCATGTTTTACCTGTGTGTGCAGCATGCTGCACATTTAAGGAGCTCAGTTTTATATCCTTGGGCAATGGAATAAGTTTATCTTCTGGCAATTTGCCTTCTTTCAACATTCATTCATTCATTTAGCACAGTGGTCGGCAAACTGAGGCTCACGAGCCACATGTGATTCTTTGGCCCCTTGAGTTTCTAGCAAAGGCCAGCTGAGGAACACCCTAATTAAGTTAATAATAATGTACCTACCAATATAGTTTAAGTTTAAAAAATTTGACTTTCACCAAAACAGGTTTGGTTCAGTGGATAGAGCGTCAGCCTGGGGACTGAAAGGTCCCAGGTTCGATTCCGGTCAAGGGCATGTACCTTGGTTGCAGGTACATCCCCAGTGGGGGGGAAGGGGGGCGTGCAGGAGGCAGCTGATCATTGTTTCTAATTCTCTATCTCTCTCCTTTCCTCTGTGTAAAAAATCAATAATATATATTTTTAAAAATTTGGCTCTCAAAAGAAATTTCAGTCATTGTACTGTTGATATTTGGCTCTGTTGACTAATGAGTTTGCTGACCACTGATTAGCAAATACTTACCTTAAGATAGAGGAGCGCATCCCTCAGTGGCTAAGAACATAAACCGAGTGGTTTAAATTTCGGTTCTGCCATTTATCAATGGTGTGCTTTAGTTAAGTTATTTAATTTTCCTCTGTCTTAATTTTTTCATCTGGAAAGTAGGGATACTAATAAGGGCATCTACCTCATGTGGTGTGAAGATTAACTAGGTTCAAATAAGTAAGATGCTTAGAAGATGTCTGGCATAGCAAGAGCTGAGGAAGTATACCCAGCTGATGTTGCTGTTATTGTTGTAATTCATATATGATGGTACGTATGCCTTTGGAGACAGGTAGACCATTGGGAGGCTGCAGCAGTTGCACAAGGTAGAAATAATGAGAAACTGAATAAGATAGTGACAGTGGAAATGGAGAGAGAGGATCAGATGGAAGAGAGCTATCAAAGTGACTTGCCTTCGTCAGCAACTCAGTGGAGGGGTGAGGAAGAGTAAGCGAATCCCTGGGTATATGGTAATGCCACTCAGGGAGGATGGGAAGAGAGGAGTTAGTGTGTCAGCTTGGATTTCCCCCAACATTGACACATCCTGTATCTATATATATAAAAGCCTAATATGCAAAGTGTTCCCTCATGAATTTAACTGGGAATTCTTTCGATCACTATGATGTGCACTGACCACCAGGCGGAGATGCAGAATGAAGGAAGACCCTGGCCAGCAGCTGACAGTTGGGGAAGTGAAGCCCTACCCAGTAGCTGGCAGCCACTAGGGATTCTACCCATGCACAAGTTTTGTGCACTGGGCCTTTAGTTAATAAATATCAAACATTAGCATTACTTTGAGAGACCTCAAAAATCCTTATATCCGTTGTTTTATAACATGGTGATGTTATTCACTTGTGAGACAGCAGTTGGGTGGGTTCTCTTGGGAATTTACAGCTAGTAGTGAGGAGAATTTGGGTGAGATCTCCTACTTTCTTCTATAGTATTCTGATGAAAGTTGCCTGCTCTTAATTGATTGTAGGCATGTGACAATATTTTTTTTTTAAAAGAGCTGTACAGAACAACCTTCACCAGTGGTTGAGTAAAAGCAGTCAGATGGGATATCTTTAGAATATGTATAATGGCATAAGGCTTTTAAATAAAGAGGGAGAAAATATCCTTCAGAAGAGAATGGCTTGAATTGTAAAAGATGTGTCTTGTGTTTTGTGGTTGGTCTTCAGTGCTCTCTATTGGCTGCTTAGTCTAAAACATCTTGATTCTTGGATACAGTGTTCCTTGCAGTGTTATCTACCAAAAAGAAGAAAACTTAGAGATTTTAAACTTGTGTAAAGGAGATAAAAACCGATGGGGGCCTTAAAAATCTGCATGGGGTCAACGAGTTGGATAGAGATTCTGAGATATATCCTTATAACATGTTGGATATAACATGGGTATGATAGTATGGACTATATTTTCAGAAAATAGACATTTCTGATGAGAAGCAGCCTGAATCTGGCTGTGTGTGTGTGTGTGTGTGTGTGTGTTCTCGCCTTTTTAGCATTTCTTTTTTTTAATGCAGCAAGGCCTCGGTAATAGTAGCCATCTCAGTAGGCAGGGCTATGTGTGATGACAATGACGAGAAATGGCTGTGACTCATTAAAGCGACTTCGTTCAGCTGTGTGGGAAATCACACAGTCCGAAAGTCATCCCAGAAAATGAAGCAGTGATTACACACTATGTATGGGCCATCTTCAAAGGTGGCTGCTTGTCTTCTTTTGAGTGACAAAGGAGCTGCCTTTGGGTTCCCTCCTCCAGGAAAAGTGGTGGTAGATGAGATTTAGTGCTTAGAATCACTAGGGGGCTAAGTCAGAGTAAATGTTAATGAGCAAGCACACCTGACCCTAACCTGAGCTCTAAAGAAGACTAGACTTTGTGTAAATAAGTTCTCACCATGACTTTTCCATTATTTCCTGGCTGCTCTTCCTTTGAAATATTTCGAATTATTTTAACCAAACCAACCCACCTATTTATTGGGTTAAAAATACTACCATTTGATTTGGTGTTATATGAAACTACAGAGATCACTCACACCAACCTGGTGAAGTCATTTATTTGCTTTCGGTATATTTTACTGTTGCCGTTTTCTCTAAGAAAGTTGAGTAATTATTAATATGAAGTAATGCTAGCTGCTTTCTGTGCATTTCATGAGGGGAATAAGCTATTATGTAGTTTCCCTTCTCCCCCAATAAAAAAGCTTTCCATCAAAAACTGACATCCTAAATGAAGGACATAATTGTACAGTTTATTTATTAGCATGTCAAACTTAAAATGTAATGGTTTCATATTTCAAAATGAAAAGTGTGTTGTGATTCATGGTTGCCAGTGACAAAATAGACAGCTCTTTTATATTACTGCGCTGATTGCCTGCTGATATACCACTGTATTTTTTATTTTTTATTTTTTTTATTTTTTGGTTCTTTTCTGTTCTCTTCCTATGCAATAGCTCCCTCTACTTGAAAATACTGGTGTAATTATAGTTTAACACTCTGTACTTTGTTAATGAGTTCCCATGACAGTTTGTAATTTTGATACTCTTCATAAATGCGTGGAGTTAAACATCAGGTCAGGTTAGAAATTTACCAAGACTCTCTTAACTTGGGAGTGGAAAAGCAAGGTTAGTTAAGGAGAGTAAGATATGTTACTGGAAGGCATTTTTAAAGGATTAATTGCATAGCCTTTGTTGATTCAAATAGGGCATGTTTGTTTAAAATGCCATGCAGTACTTGAAAATGAACCTTGGTGTCTGAAACACAGAGGCATAGGAAACCAGGAAGTTCAGGAAAGTTTAAGGGAAGCACCAAACACTTCAAACAGACACGGCCTAGAACTTGGCAGATTTTCACTTGGTCAACTCCAAAGGCTTATCATTCTAATATAAAATGTGGCAGTTTCTGTACTTGCCAAGGAAGGGTTTCATAGAAGTAGTAGTAGGAATCTCTTGTTTCTACATCTTGCCTTTAAAGCACAATCTGCATAATGAAACGATAGACAAAACAAAGCAAGTGCTATTATTATTGAGATTCTTTGTTCTCTTACTAAGTCTGAGGTTGGTGATAATACCATATTCCTCTACCATGAGGACAGATTAAGAGATCTTACTTAACCAGAAGATTTCCATGTGAATATGTCTTTGCATTCTACAACTCTTTATTTCCAATTCCTTCTGCTATTGTGGTGCAGGGCAAGTAGCAGAGCATGTTGGTCGGAAGTGAAGGTTTAGTAGCCAGCAGGGTGATCTTGGCAAGTTCCCTTAACTCTCTGATTCTCAGTTTCCTTGTGAAATACATGTGCCTGACAACAAATCTTCCCACATCCTAAAGCTTGTTTTAAGCATTAGTTGAATTAATGATTCCCAGGCACTTAGAACAGAGCCTGACATAAGTAAGGGCTACATACAAGTGTTTGTTGGATAAAATTAAAAATAATAGTGGGGTTATAAATTTATTTTTATTAACCAAATGTATTTATGTCACTGTTATCTTCAGTGCTTAATGACAAGAAATATGGATGAGAGAAATTTGCACTTTGAATTTGTTCATGAAATTGATACTCATTTTCTATGTATTTCTACATAAGAATCGTTCTCACTTAGGGGTACCTATACTCTAGCATAATTTTAGGTTATATCACTTTTAAACATACCCTTAAAATGCAGTGGAATATGTCATGATTCCCATGTTTTTTTTGTGTTTTTTTTTTAACTTAAGTGATTTAGCAGGAGGACTTTATAGGTGAATTCCTAAGAATGGAGCACCATGTAGTACACTTCTCTGGAAGCCTACTTATTGTCCAAGAGCAATAACAGATAGGCTTATCTTTGATCCATAGTGTGACTGTGCTTGATGATGTCAGAGAATCTTGTCCAGTTGTCCCTAGACCTCTGGTTATTCAACAAAACATGTCACCCAAAGTTGAAAAAATAAATGTATGTGTATGGAGGACTCAGACATTCGATTTTTTAAATTGTTACGGTTATGTTTTCACTTCGATACAAGCTGATATCTGTGTGGATGTTTAGAACAGTTTAATAGATTGTGTCCTCTTCAGCAGAACATCACCAGGATGCCAGGCACAGGAAGTAAGCAATTAAATGAGATTCATGAGTAAACACAAACTGTCTTAAGGCTGAATGTTTGTTTTTGGAGCTGACTCATCTTTTTTCTTTGTGTGATCATTAGGACCCCTTAGATTCCACAAGATCAGTGATTGTGATTCGTTCCCTGGTGGCCGATGGTGTTGCGGAAAGAAGTGGAGAACTACTACCTGGAGACCGCCTGGTCTCGGTCAATCAGTACTGTTTGGACAACACCAAACTTGCAGATGCTGTGGAAGTGTTGAAAGCTGTGCCACCAGGCACTGTCCGTCTTGGCATATGCAAGCCTTTGGGGGTAAGTTGTTGAATTTGTTATTAGAGGAGGTAACAATGGTATAATAGTTGAGAACATGGATTGTGGAGACAAATGCACCTGGCCTCAAGCCCCTGTCCTACTACTTACTATAGGTGCATCCTTGTGTAAGTATCTTAATGTCCTTGGCTTACAGAATCAGAAGAAATACCATCTATTTCATAGGGTTTTGGGAATTAAAGATGATATTCAGTAAGTGTTTAGCACATTGTTACATAAATGCTATCTGCTAACATTACTAGTCCTACTACTATCAGGTTTACTACTATTTTAAAAAATATATATTTTATTGATTTTTTTACAGAGAGGAAGAGAGAGAGATAGAGAGTTAGAAACATCGATGAAAGAGAATCATTGATCAGTCGCCTCCTGCACACCCACTACTGGGGATGTGCCTGCAACCAAGGCCCATGCCCTTTACTGGAATCGAACCTGGGACCCTTCAGTCCGCAGGCCGATGCTCTATCCACTGAGCCAAGCCGGTCTCGGCAGGTTTACTACCATGTTTATCTTCATCCTTTTAGCAGTCTTCTAACGTCTTGTCACATTCCTCATGATGTAAATTAGAATAAGTCTATTTATGCATTTTAACTTTCATTTTGGAATAATGTTGAGATGGCATGATAAGTTGAGATCCAGGTAACCATATTATATATAGCAATGAGGTTTTAATATGCTTTTCTCATCATCAAAGTGCCTTGTAACCCTATGATCTAAACTCCTATATGGCCCAGCCATCTTAGTCATCTTATTGCATAATCTCATGTACTGGGTCAGGTTACTATTTATGACTGAAGGCCTCTTTACAGGTGCTATTGAGGTTCCTCAATGCAAAAAAAAAAAAAAAAAAAGATAATTTTCAAGCAGCATTAAAGTATTATTAAGTGCTTACTAGGTATAAATTTTTAAGTCCTTTACATCTATTAATTAATTTAATCCCCACAAAACTTTAAGAAGTAGTTACCCTTATCACAGATTAGTCAGTCAAAACACGGATTCCAGTAACTTATCCAAAGTGATATAACTGTCAAGAGGTAGAGTTGGAATATGAACTCAGCAGAGTGGCCTCAGACCCTATGCTCTTAGCCACTATGCTTTATATCCCTGTTTTAATTTGTTGTCACTAGTGTAGTTTGCATGCAACATGCCTGAAACAGTATGGTTAGAGTGTTGGACTGGATTTCAAGAAATCTGGGCTCAGTTTCTAACTTTGCTATGAATTAGCCCAGAAGGGTTTCAAATACAAAAATATGTGATATACCTAAGAATCACCTGGGAGGTGGTTAAAATGCAGTTTCCTAGGTTTTACTGTCAGAGGTTTGACTTAGGAATTCTGATCTGCTCAAGAATATGCCTCTTCAATGAGCCCATGTAATCCTATTGCCAGATTTTGCACTTTGAAAAACATTTTCCTCATAATTTGATAATTAGGGACACTGCTTTTTATCTCTGAGCCTATTTTTTTCACTTCTGAAAAGGCTGAATGAATAAGACTAGAGAGCTCCTAAAATATTTCTTAACTCTAAAATCCTTTTATTTTATGAAATATATTAGCATACTACAAGTGTTCCTATAAATAGGTATGTGTGTGTGTGTGTGTATGTGTGTGTGTGTGTGTGTATAGCTATAGATAGATTCATGCATTACATATAGTATTTTTACATTGGGGAACATTAATATGACCTATTCTTCATGTATTACATATGAAAACATCTATATATTACCATCAGATACTTTAAATGTTTCAAAATGGGGTATAGCACACAGCTTAGTCAAGTTCTTGACTTCATACTGTATATTTGATATGTGGGGGTTGCTATGGCTAATATGTAACATGAGATGCCCAGTTTTATTTTTGGACAAATTAAGAAAGTGTAAACTTGATATTTTATGGGGACCTCATTTTCTTGGTATTTTGGATTGTGGCAGGAACTTTGTCTAGATTTTCCCTGATGATTATTTGCCTGATTAGTTGGCCTACTAGAGGAAATCACAAACCAGTTATGGTCTCTAAGCCTTAAGCAGCATAACTTTACTTGTAAGCAGCTTAGGCAAGTGTTTTCAGGCAGAAGAAACAATGGAGCTTATACCAGCTGGGTGTGGATTCCTGTGCTATTTCTGGCAGGGGTCGAGCTACAGAAACCTTAGGACCTCAGAGCCACACCTTAAAGGGTTTCAGAATGAAATAATTGTGTGATAGAACTTTGTCCAGGCTTCTCTCAGTGACTAGGAAGGCTGTCAGGATACTTGGGAGTGGGAGGCCAATAAAGAAATGAGAGAAAGGTCATTTTCAAGACTTAACAATTTTTAGTGGAATTACCACAAAGTAATTTCTTCTTTAACATCTGGGTTCTTTTAGCAAAACTTATCTGTTCATGAGCTGTAAATAGTGATGCGTGGGTCTTTTCGGAGGTGTCTGTCTCTTTCTCTCATTTGGTGGCCACTTACAAAACCACCTGATGTTTACTGAGCATTTGCTCATTCCTCAGCATAAGTGGGATGGAGTGTGAATAAAAAGGCCCAAAGTCAGGTTAGGGCAGAAAGATTATGAATTTGCAACAGGAGAACAAAGTATTTTTTTAAAATATATTTTATTGATTTTTTTACAGAGAGGAAGGGAAAGAGATAGTGAGCTAGAAACGTCGATGAGAGAGAAACATCGACCAGCTGCCTCCTGCACACCCCCTCCGGGGATGTACCCGCAGCCACTGTACGTGCCCTTGACCGGAATCGAACCTGGGACCCTTTAGTCCGCAGACCGATGCTCTACCACTGACTGAGCCAAACCGGTTTCGGCAAAGTATTTTTTTAAAATTTTGTATCATATACATCTGTTTTATCTATGTATTTATAAATATTATAGAATCTGTTATACTATATAGAATCTGATATATAGAATTTGTTACTTTTAGAAAAATATAAAATCCTGACCAAATAAGATGTTGTAAAGATTATGCTGAGATAAAGCATATAAAAGTATTTGCAATGGATTGTAATATGAAGCTAGGACTTGATAAAGAGTAGCTGTTATTACCTGGCACTGATTTTGAGATGATAAACCCCAGAATGGCTGTGTCTCTTCTTACAGAGAGTGACTACACTGTGCCCTTGTTAAACATTTTGGAAATCACCCTGTGAACTCTTGTACATTTCTTGATTATAAGGTCCATTCCTGGGAAAGTGATTTTTTTTTAAGTCATATTTAAAAATAAAAAGTGTGAGAAGCTTTGACCTGACTATGGCTTTCTTTTTCATTGTTAAAGAAAAGTTTGTTCTAATCAAATGAGGTGCATACATTTTATTATGTACTTGCAACTTAATGGGAAAATAAGAATTAATCTGAAGGGAGTTTGAAATGAAGGTATTTTCTTGATTATAAAAGTGTTTCTGTGGTTGCCAGAGGAGCGAGAGTGGGAAATGAGTGAAGGTGGTCAGAAGGTACAAACTTTCAGTTATAAGTAAATTGTAAGAATATAAATGGAAGGCATGGTGACTATTTTAATACTGCATTATATATTTGAAAGTTGCAGATGTTAACTAAATTTATTGTGGTAATCATTTTGCAATATATACATGTATTAAATCATTATTTTTATACAACTAAAACTAATATTTTATATGTCACATATCTCAGTACAACGAAAAATAGCTTCATGGTTGATAAAAACGTTTATTCAGTTATGCAGAAAAGTAAAAAATAAAATAAAAATGCTTCTATTTTCAGGAAGATGATAAAGGGGAAGAAAGTCATTATCTTTTACAGTCAAACCCTAATGAAGACAAGACTGAAATTTCAGGAACAATTCATGATATAAATTCATCTTTAATACTTGAAGCACCCAAGGTAATTAGTACATTTATTTCCCATTTGCATGGTTTGCTGTGAGCTAAAGTTGCTACAAAGAAGACAATGCTTGTTACCACTCCCTTAGCTAAATATATAGAGTTCAAATAATCCCCTCTCTATCTTTATTATTGTTTTTTAAACTGAAATCTTTTCCCTCTTGTTTCACATTGCCTCCATAAATGACATAGGCCAGCATAAGGCGTTTTCAAAGAACAAGCATACTTTCTTTTATACTAATACTAGAGGCCCAATGCACGAAAATTCATGCAAGAGTAGGCCTTCCTTCCCCCGGCTGCTGGCACTGGCACCTGGGACCCAGGCTTCCCTCCTCCCACTGCTGGCAGGCACCTGGGATTCGGCTGGGTTCTCTCCAGCCCTGGCTTCATCAGGAAGGACATCCAGAAAGATGTCCGGAAGACATCCAGTCTAATTATCATACTATCCTTTTATTAATATAGATTTCTTAACATTTTGAGGGCAGAACATATTTTTGAAAATAGACCTGCATTTATAATGATGTAGAAAACGGCTATACAAAAGAACTTCTTACTTAATACTTTCTAAAGAAAGTTTAGTTCAACCCTAATTTTTGCTTCAATTTTAGAAAGTTTATTTTAGCACTTTTCCCTTTTTTTTTTCTTTTCTTTTTTTCTTTTTTAAATGAACTGTGCTTATTTTGCTCTTTGCAGCTAGAGTATGGTTTTGCTTTACTTGGTAATAACTGTCTTTTGATATTCTTTACATAATTTGTTGACAGTGTCGCAAGCTGACAGATAATCCATTATATTTTTTAGTGTAGACTTTTTTGATTAAAATTTCATAAACACATGCCATGTCTAAATATACCTTCTACACACAACTTAAAAAAAAAAGTAGGTTGTAGTATTTGCTATACTGCATTAATTTAAAAGTTTCACCACAGTGCTATTTAGCTGCATGTGAGGAAGTAATGAGAAAGAATAGATTCATTTCCAGGAATTTATGCTTAGTAATACTTAAAATAGGACCTGTCATTGATCCCTTAGTAAGAAATGGGCATCATTGTGATCAGCACCTTGACATTGTTAAGAATTAAATCGAAGGCTCAACTGCTCCATAGCATTACCAAAACTCAGCAATGTCCCTGCACATCTATGGCTATGTAACTTTAGTTGTATGTACTTGTTCTTCTAATTAGTGAACCATAAATTAATTTAAAAGCATACTGTATTTATTCCTTGATGTCATATATTTTCAAAGCTGATGAAAAAATATTTCTGTTTATGGGATATTATCAAAGAGTCATATTCAAAGTAGTGAAACATACTCCTCTTATCTTTAGTTTACATGGAATGTTTATTTTTTTTCCAAATAGCCGTGATTTCTTTTGAGTTACATAAGCTTGAAAATCCTGATCTTTTAAGTCTTTGCTTTTGTAAGTATTAATATGAAGTGTTTTTGTATTTATGTACTATTTTTTATATGTACATTTTTTATATGTACATTCATGAGATTCATGAGGTAAATTTTCAGTGTATCAGTTTAACAAAATAGCTATTTCTGACGGAACATTTTCAGGTGGTTAATGTATAATGAACCTTTTAGAATAGCCATTCACCTTGCCAAGGGCAGATTTCGGCCTCTGATTTATTCTTTGTCCCTTTCCTGGGCGGAAGGTTGTGTGGCAGTGAGCTTGTATTTCTCCTCGTGTGTAATGGAGAGCAGTTCATGTTAGCCATGTGTTGGCATGTAACAGCATCCCTGCAGCTACAGCAGGGGTTACTTTTCCAGCTTTAAGAGGGTGTTAATGTTTTTTGCAACTTTTTCCCCCCCAGGAATTTAGAGATGAACCCTATCTTAAAGAAGAACTTGTGGATGAGCCACTTCTAAATTTGGGAAGATCTTTCCAGTCCCAACAAAACGAGATAGACAATAGCAAGGAGGCCTGGGAAATGCATGAATTTCTGACTCCTGGATTGCAGGAGATGGGTGAAGAAAGAGAAATGCTTGTTGATGAAGAATATGAGCTCTATCAAGATTGCTTTCCGTCCGTGGAGTTGTATCCCTCCTCACACATTCAAGAGACTGCGCCTGTTCCAGCCATGAAGGAACTTCACTTTGGTGCACGGTGGTTCTGTGACAGTGAACCGGCTGACCCTCAAGAAGCAAGGCCCATAATGAGTGTATATTCCCCGGACACACAGCAGTATGGCTACAGCACTGAAAACGTGGTAAGGGGTGTTTTAGCACAGATCGTCCCGCCTTCCCTGTCTCCTCCCCTTCCTATCCCAGTCCCTAAGTCATGAAACTTTCAAAAAACAAAATGTAATGAACTGTTTCATAATTAATCATTTTTCCAAGATGTTGCTGTAAGTAAAAGCTCAACTTTTCTGCATCACACAACTTTCAGTTGCAGTCAATAAGCTCCTGTTGCTTTGCTTTATAGTGTTTTTTGTTTGTTTTGTTTTGTTTTGTTTTGTTTTGTTCTTTTGCTTTGGCTTTTTAGTGATGTTTTTCTTCTAATTACTCATTTCAAGGAAGAGGTCTCTTGCCATTTGATTTTTTTTTTTTTAATTCCCTCAGAGAAATACCATTCTATGTTTCTCACATTGTGTATTTGTCCAGGCAAATCAAGGCAAATTAATTCAAGATATATTGTTGTTTATAACTCACCTAACCACACTTTCTCTGTCACATATATGATACTAAATAGTCACCAAACTCTAGGAATTCATCTTTACATTTGTGATACTGCCCATGTACAACTGGGCAGGAAAGCATTATATTTTAATAGGTTTGTCCTTGCTATTAAACCACCAATAAACTTTGCCGTTTATAAAATTAGAGTTAACTGGTCACCAAATTGGGATCATTTATTAGGGATATTTTTTCGTGTTTTTTTTTTTTCCTGTCCCCAATTAAATTCCAGGCAAATGGAAAGAAAGGTATTGTACAGGGGTATGCATCAGTATATTCATTCAGATACAGTATGGTGCCCCCTCCCCCCCAAGGTCAGCAGCTTTCCTGCAGTGATTTGCAAAGTGTGTTTTCATCTGCTCTTTCGTAGGGGCAGCTAGGACTGGGTTTTCCCTTTGCCTTCCTTAGACCTCTCCTCCCTTTTTCCCTTCTGCCAATGCTTGAGGGTCCTTCCGTCATGCAAAGCCCTGAACTAGATGTATTTATGGAACCCCAGAGGATGCCTCATAATAGAGGACTCCGGGCAGTCTACCAGAGGACAGATGTTTTGATATTATGTGAATAATACCTAGATGAGGGAATAGGTGACACACAGAAACTCCTGGTCTGTTGCCATTGACAGTGGTGGCCTTAACGTTGTCGTTTAACTTTATGCTCATAAAAAGTTTGTTTAAAATATCATAATATAATATTTCAGTAAAAATTGTATGTCCTGGAAGATTGTAACTTTGGAAAACTATAAAAGATTTGTGAAAAAGGAGGCCAAAGAGGAGAGTGTGATAAGTTATTGACTGTGCTTACATATCTTTGGTTTTAGGTTTGGGACATTGAGTGTTCACTATGCAGATAAGAGTGCTAGGGAGGATGTAGCCAAGGCTTAGAGCTCTGGAAATTCCCCAGGGATTTGGGAATCAGTTATTTATGTGGTGGTCCAGTGTGATCAGGAGGTAGTATGTCAACCATTGACCTTGATTAACTGGCTGGATCTTTTATTCCTCTTACCTTAGTGAATGTTTATTTAAATCCACTTATTAATGTTTTGAGAAACAAATTTGTTGTTTAAAAAAATCCAGTATTTAGAAAAAGAAAGGCGGGGGGGGGGAGTTCTTAGCCTGTACTCTTGCAAATATTAAGTTACCAGTGTTCATTATTGCTTGCTACAGTATAAACCGTTACTTGAGAAGGCCTGTTTTCAGGGCCAGTTTTCCACTATCATTATTGTCTGTTTAAACAACATTATAGTGTTCCACATTTTATCATAAAGTACTAATGCATTTCTGTTTTCCTTCCTCTCGAGATGAAAGAAAATTTTGGCATCAATTCCCATCCCTCCATATCTTCTACTGAAGGAAACAGTCAACAAGGCAGATTTGATGATCTGGAAAATCTTAATTCGTTAACAAAAAGCAGCCTGGAATTAGGTTTGTGGTTTTTGTTTCTCCTGAACAGAAATTACATTATTTTGCAATCTTTCCATTTTATTTTTGTGTGTGATAAAATTTACGCTCGCGTTTCATTCATTATGGCTTTTCAAATTTAAATCACCTTATTAATCTGCTTCCACATATCTGGAAGAAAAACTGTTGTTCATATTTTAACTTAGAGTTTTCAGATTTTGTTTTCTGAGAGGGCTGCATTTTCTCTGCCTCGTTTTGCTTTTTATTATCAGGATGAATTAAAACTAAAGCTAATACTCGAGGTTGAATCTGAAATAAGTCTCTACTGATATATATTAAAACCTTTGATGCTATTAAGTGATACTGTTAGCTCACTGAATGGGGTTGTTAAATATTAATAAAGAGAGACATATTTTAAACATTTATGAAACATTTTATAGTCATATATTAGTCAATTTTGGTGCATTAATAACTTAGTTCCCATTAAAGAATCCTGAAAGTATTGTGCCTCTCCCTGTTTCCACCCCAGTATTGATTCTTATATAATTTCGAAAACTTGACTTTAACAAATATTTTTTCATCCAACACTGAAATATCAAATGTTATAATATTAGGATCCTTAGTTGAAACTGTTAAATTCCTTTGTAGCACTGGGATTTATAGAGCCATTGTTCAGGATTCATGCTGTCCTTCACCTGTTATGACTCTGCTTATAGGAAAAATCTTTCTCTGTGAGAAATTCTTATGTGTATGGTAATATGCTATAAGGACAAAGAAAGAATTACAGAAAATTATGTAACACTTTTATGTAAATGTAGTTTTTTTGAGAGAGAAAAAGAAAAAGAATGGAATTCTTCATGGTAAAGATTGAAGGCATCTGTGAGATAATAACAATGATCAATTCCCTGTGAGTCAACAGGGGTAATTTGGAATATCTGAGATTAGATGAGTCTATTCAGTTTTGCATAATCTATAACTGATCATGACCAGGGGAAAATATGGGAAATTTTTCACCAAAATTCTTTAAGTATACTATTTTTTTTTTGTTTTTGCTTAAATATATTTATGTTGATTTCAGAGAGGGAGAGAGAAATAGAAACATGAATGACGAGAGAGAATCATTGATTGGCTTCCTCCTGTATACCCCACATTGGGGGATCAAGCCCACAACCTGGGCATGTGCCCTGACTGGGAGTCAAACCGTGACCTCCTGTTTCATAGATTGACACTCAACCATTGAGCACATCAGCCAGGCAAGGATATTGTGTGTGTGTGTTCTAATAAAAATCCACCGTATTTCTACAGTTCTCCAATTATTAAATACTTGGGAGAGCTATATAGCACAAATTATTAAGTAAATGAAATAATAGACCATATCCATGTGATTATCACTGATACTTTATAACAATCTTGGTACCATTGTGGCCCAGATAATTTTTGGGTTGAGGATTGAACTGGGCATTGAAGGATGTTTTACCAGTTTCCCTGCCTTCTAACCCTAGATGCCAGTGGTACTCCCACCCCAGTCATGATCAAAATAAAAATGTCTGTAGACATGCCAAATGTCCCTTGGGAGGCAAAATTGCTACTCTTTGGACCTACGTATGCTTTATAACATCAGGATTGAAAGGAACAGACAAGAAAAATGGGGTGGGTTATTGTAAGAAGAGGCAGTGGAGTTGGGAAAACTATAGGAAAGGAGATAGTCTCTTCATGGGCTGACCCAGTCCTCCCGTAGGTGACTCCAAAGTTAGTTCCATGGCCTTCTGCTGCCTGTATGAGTTTCATAGGGCGGTTGTAACAAATTGTCACAGATTTCGTGGCTTAAAAGAACAGAAATGAATCCTCTCAGTGTTCTGGAGGCCAGAAGTCCAAAATCAAGGTGCTGTGCTCCCTCTCAATGTGCTAGAGAAGAATCTGTTCTTCGCCTCTTCCAGCTACAGGTGGCTCCAGCCTTCTTTGGCTTGTGGTTGGATCACTCCATTATCTGCCTCTGTCTTCACATAGCCTTCTTTTCTTCCTACCAGTGTCTTCTCTTCCTTTGTCTCTTATAAGGATTTAGGTCTCACTTTGGTCATCCAAGATGGTCTCATCTCAAGATACTAATATCTGCAAAGACTATTTCTTTTCCCAAGAAATGTCACATTCATAAGTCCTGTAGCATGGATATACCTTTTAAGGGGTCCACCATTCAACCTACTACACTGCCTTAATATAATACTTTGCAAGGCCCTGAAAATAATTTATTTTCAGAGATTATAGCTTTCAAAGTAAAGCTGTCTTAGAACTGTGTTGACTAGAAAATCATTCATAACCACATTTTTTGGGGGGAAATTTTTGAGAGCCTCCAGAATTCCACATGGCTGGCATGAGTATTTGGATTAAAGCTAATCATGGGTGGGTTGAGAAATTACTGATGCCGAGTGAATACAGCAGCATACATATTGAGTTAATTTTACTCAATTTCATTTTTCTCTCGAGAGCCTTGCCCAGCCTATGGCAGACTATTCCAATCCCAGGATCCTTAGGAGTAAGAAGTTAACCTGCTGAGTCACCAGGCAGGCCACAAGGCTTCTCCAAGCCTCTTTATTTCTTCAACTGTAAAATGGAGTTAGGCTATGTGTTCTCTGAAGCCTCTTTCAAATCTCTAGCTCTCTGACCGCTTTAAAGTAATAGACCATTTTATGGAGAACATCATGCTGAGTGAAATAAGCCAGTCATTGAAAGAAAAACACCACATGACCTCACTCATTTGTGGATAATAAAGAACATTATAAACTGATGAACCAAAAGATAGATATAGAGACAGTATATCAATGAGCAGACTGTCAAATTACAGCGGGGAGTGGAGGAAGATCTGGGGGAGATAAGAGATCAACCGAAGGACTTTTATACATGCACATAAGTACAACCAATGGACATAAAACTCTGGGGAGGGAAGGGATGTGAGGGAGGGAGGGAGGGGGGGAAAATCATAAAAAATATATATATATTAAAAAAAAAAAAAAGACTGAAGAAAGGACCTCTTTTCCACTATTTTGAACGCTTAATAGCTAATTTCATAACATCACATGTACCATTTTAAGAAAGTGATGATTTAGTGGGAAATTAAAGCTTTGCATCTGTATACTGTAAATATAAATGACGATTTATTTGAAATGTGTAACTTGGATATGCAAAAGATAATAACTCACAATGTTAATATTAAATATTCCTTCAAAATAAAAAAAAAATTTAAAAAAATAAATAAATAAAAAATAAAAAAAATAAAAAAATAAAGTAATAGACCATTTTAGATTTATCTAAGAACAATTAATTAAAAAATTGGTTTTGGAGACCTATGTATAAAGGACTATTCTTGACTCTCTACTTTATCCAAAAATATGTGTCCTCTAAGAGCCTATACTCCTCATAGCCTACAAATGGAACCAAGCCTACAAATTAGTATAATTAATGCTATAAAGCATAACAAGATAAATTTTAAATCTAACACATTTAGTGTTACAAGATTTCCGAGAGAAAGTAGTTCTTTTTCCCAATCTTTGCTCCTACCTGGAGTGTGCCTCCAGTGAACCCTGGATAAATTTCTGTCATTGCACCCAAGAGGCAGGCATACACACTCAATTGCATGCCAGTCTCATACTGTAGACTAAGCTCTAAGGGGCAAGGCTTACCTCTGTTTACGTTATAGCAGGCGCTCAAGAAATATTTGTCAAATGAGAACGTGACATGCCGCTTATATGTGGTTATTTAACAACAGAATGAACCTCCCTTTTTTTTTAGTTGCTAAGTTGTACTGTACCCAATCTCCTCTGTAGTTGGATTCTTACTGCCTTTATTTTGTTGCCTATTTTTGTTCTGGTACTCCACTAAGTATAAGTCTTTTAAAATGTTTCCCATTCCTCTCCTGTAAGCATTAACTTCCATTTACCCAGAATATATATTTTTTAAGTTCTCTGTTTTTCTAACCTTTGTGCTCCTGATATGGCCATTACCTAACAACTGCACAGGCCCTGAAGGACTGGATTTTTTTTATGGGCTCTCAGGTACTGTGTGTGCTTGGTGAACAGCTTTGTAAAGTGAAACTGTGTCAAGCACTGTGAGAGATGAAAATGTGTGCCTGAAAAAGGAAAAGAAAAAAGAAAATGTGTGTCTGAGCACCGCCAAGGGTCCATGCAGGAGGTGTGGGGCAAAGGGCATGGGCAGTCTTCGTGTGGAGCAGGTAATGCAAAGTTTTAAACAAACTGCAGCAGCCATCTGTAAAACCCAATGCGATAATTTAACAGGCTGCTTTTGCCAGCAAAGCTAGATGGGAAATAGCTCTGCACATAGAGCTGGTTTTCTGCTCTTAAGACTTTGGTGTTAGGCCATCCCTCTCAGAATCCTGATTCTACCCCTGGTCCCTCTTCAGTGGAGAGGAGGCAGGCATAAGCAGAGCTGGAAGAGTGAGGCAGGGATACAGATGTGACTGCCTTGCGGAAATATGGGTCCTAGTGGATGGGATAGAGGGTGGTGCTTGGGGTAGGGGAAGCAACTGGAAGTTAAAGCTTACAGGAGGTTTTCTTTCACACCACCTACATATTACAGTTATTTCCACCCCCTCGTCAGATTCTCTGTTGCATTATCAACCAATTATATCCTGAAGTTTCTAGATAAGCTAAAAAGCAGAAGTCATAATGAGTTTCGTAGAACATTTGTTCAGTAGGAAGAAATGGAGAGTTTAGCTGATGCTTATAGGAAAAACTAAAAGACTGTATCTCTTAGAAATTATTTATATATATAAATAATATATCAAAATATACTATAAACATATAGACTTACGGGAAGCATTTAATGTATAATTCATCATATTTTAACCTGCAACCTGGGTATTAGCTCTGATCAGGAATTGAACCCACCAAACCTTCAACGAATGGGATAATGCTCTAGCCAACTGAGCCACACCAACCAGGGCTCTGGCTTCATTTTCCACCAAAGTACTTGTCATCATCTGACTTATTAATTATTTTACTTTTTTAGTTTAATATAAATAAGTCTTCCTAGAAGGGATTTGCCCATAGTAGATGCTCCTAACTATTTGTTGAATGAATGAAGGATGAATGAAAGCATTTTGTGTTCACTATTTTTTGGTTTACTCTATAGGCATGATGATTCCGAATGACGTCCAAGGTCCTGGCTTGCTTGTTGAACTTCCCACTATGGCTCAAAGACGGCAGCAAGAGGATCTGCCCTTATACCAACTCCCCAGGGCCCGAGTTGTTTCCAAGACCTCAGCACCCACAGGAATGTTGTCTTCTAGATACACCACTGATGCATAGTATGATTTCCTTTTCTTTTACATTAGAAAATAGTTTCTTTTTTCTTCTATAAAAATGAAACAGGCATGATTATGGTGACACATTTGGAAAATACAGAAAAATATTTTGAATAAAACCCACTATTTTAAACAATATACTAATTGTCTAAGTACATACATACATGCATACATACATACATAAAATTGTGCCTTATATGCAATTCTGTATTCTCTCAGTTGCATGCAAAATGGATTACATAGAGTATTTGCTTAGAAAATGGGAGGTTAATAGTTTATTTTTAACAACTCAAGCAAGGAGTATGCAGACAAATGAGGAAATGGGTTTAAGAGTTAGAGAATCTATAGGAATTGGTTTCTGATAACCAATTGGGAAGTGAGAGGGAATAGTTGATGAAGACTCATGGTCCTGGAATGGAGAATCAAATAGACAGTGGGACCATTAGTTCTTTGACAAAGATTATAGGAGCATGCACAGGTTAGAAGGGAAAATAATGAGTTCAGTTGGAGACATATTGAGGGTTTAAGTATTCATAGGACAACAAAGTGAAGTGGAATCAATTGGATCCATGATTCTTAGGATTAATGTTGAAGTTGTCCTGACATGGATAATTGGGGACAAAATCAGGCAAGCATTAGTGAAACTCCTGAGTTTGAGTAGCGTTTTAGGGGAAGTTCAAGTAATAAGAAGAGCATAGGGTCAAAATTGGAGACCTGCAAAGCAGCAATATTAAAGGTATGAATGGAGGAAAAAAATAGGAAAATGGAATGAACAAAAGATAGAAGGAAATTGATGAACCAGAGGTTGACATAGAAATTAAGGGAAGAGAGAATTTTAACAAAAAAATCATTACAAACTATGGTCACATGCTACAGGCAGGTCAAGTAGATAAAATGGAAATGTTTTCATGGGGCGTGGCCATATGGTCCTTGGTAAGCACAGTTTTATTAGAGTGCATGGTGAATTGAGAATTGAACAAAAGTTCTGAAACTGGACATAGGAAGAACAGATCAGTGTTTTGAGAATTCTGATCACGATAAAGGAAGATAGAATACATGAGGTAGGCCGAAACCGGTTTGGCTCAGTGGTAGAGCGTCGGTCTGTGTATTGAAAGGTTCCGGGTTCGATTCCGGTCAAGGGCATGTACCTTGGTTGTGGGCACATCCCCAGTAGGGGGTGTGCAAGAAGCAGCTGATCTATAATTCTCTCTCATCGATGTTTCTAACTCTCTGTCCCTCTCTCTTCCTCTCTGTAAAAAGTCAAATATATATATATGTATAGAACTAATGAGTATGGCTCCAGCTATTTAAAAAAAAAAAAAAGAATGCATGAGGTAGGTAGATGATAGATAGATAGATAGATAGATAGATAGATAGATAGATAGAGAATGAGAGAGAATATGTGTGTGTATCTGTCTGTGTCTTTCTGGAAACAATCCAGAAAAGAAATACGTAAATTCTAGGAAGGGGGGTGATTAAACATAATTCATATAGAGACCCAGTAACTTTGATTTTTTTTCTCTGTCATTAGGGGAAATGCTACTTTCTAAGAGTGTTGGGGTGCTAGTAGAGTGGCATTAAAAGGAAAAGTGTCAGAGTAGAGAGTAGCTTTTAAAACAAGGGTAGGGGAGTAATGGCTTAGTGGTGGAAGGGAGTTTAGAAAAATATTGGGCTCGCTTGCCAACTTCCCAGAGAGCGAGAGAATGAGCATTAACCACTTGAGTGTGGTATCATGGCAAAGAACCAGCAGCTGTTGAGAGAACAGAGAAGGTATGGAGAACATTCAGTGAAGAGGTTAGTGCATGGAGTAGTTTCTTTACAACTCAAAGAAGTTCCACAAAGTGATGGGAGTTTGGCTGGGCAGGTGTTGTAGTGTGGAGTGATATATGAAGGTGAAACCAGAGTGTTGGACTTTGAGTCCAGCAGGAGAATGAACAAAGGGGCTGGAGGTACTGACATTGCATAACAAGAATGAGTGATAGGGTGGAATTGACCGGCCCAAATGTTTTTATTAAACCCTTAGTCCAAGAATGATGTCATATCATCTATCAACACAATGATATTGTCTTTATTCAATAACCTGTGACCTCCGCCTAGAGTTTTAGATAGAAACTTCATGAAACGTGGTTCTTTGTGGTTCTGCATAGCTCATTTCTGAGTGGAAAGGGGAGACACAGATAGGCCCAACTAGGACAATCTGATGGCTTTTCATGCAGCAGAACTGGAGCGGTGTGCAGAGGGTGGTGCAGGCAGGCCCGGTGACCTAACCACTCCTGGAGGAACTTACAGTGTTAAACAAGCAGTGCACTTGTTTCTTTAGGAGAGATGCCGGGAAGTGGCAGTACTGGAAGGGTTAGCAATATATTTTATGACTTTTTATGTGATTAAATTACTTTTTAAATGAGACACTTTTGTCTTTTAAATTTCCCTTGTGCTTAGTCATTGAATCTGGCAGAAAAATTCAGAAATGGGGCTACTTCTCTGAAGCTATAGAACTATTAACTGTAGAATTGGAAAAGGTCTAAACAAATTTCCAAACCCACCCCGCCTTCCTCACATAGAAGACAAAAGAAACATCAGTTGTATCTAAATTCTTCCAGCTTCTGAGAGGGAAGATAGACTTTACTCTTATTCCATTGCTTTTTTCTCCTAAAATGACTACTTTAGCAAGTCAATTTCTTATGCAAGCACAGGCATTTAAGGGCTCCAACCTAATTTTGTCTTGGGAGATCAGTCTTGCATTGGAAAGTTGTGCTTTTGGCTTGCTCGCATAGATTCAGGATATATTTAAGTCTCAGCAGGTCCAGAAGACTTCCTATAAATCATCATCCCGGTTTTAATCTTTTAGTGAATGCCCCTGGTGAATACTTAGTGCCACTCAGGAGTCTTTCTGAGCCATGCATAGATTCTTTTGGAAGACAATCTTTTGGATTATCAGGGTGTCATGAAGTACTAAATAGTATCTTAAAGTTTCTTCTTTGCATTAATTGTAGTATAGTTCTTTAATGTGCATATACACTGAGTGGCCATAGTATTATGATCTCTGAATGCATAATAATCTGGCCACTCCATGTATATCCTATATAATAAAAGACTAATGTGCAAATTGTCCCTTCAACCAGGAGTTCAACCAGAAGGCAGGCCGGCAATTGCCCATGTCCCCTCCCCCTAGCCAGGCTGGCTGAATCTCACCCATGCACGATTTGATGCACTGGACCTCTAATATATATATATTTACTGAGTGGCCAGATTATTATGCATTCAGAGATCATCATAATCTGGCCACTCAATATATATTTGTGTCAAGACAACTTCTTTTTGTGTTTGGAGGCAGGACAAATATTAAGAGGTCAGATCACCCTCAAAGTGGGGCTCTCTACGAGAACTGTGGGCCAGCATGTATAATAACTCTGGAAGGAAGCTGAGCTCTTTTGTTCCAAGTATCCTCCTTTCTTTGTAAGGTCACTTGAGATCAGGTCTTCAGAATTCACCTGGCTTCAGTCTTTTTCTAACTCATCTTTGTCATCGCCTGCTGCCTGAGGACATATGGTGCCTATAAAGGGGGACATGCACATCTCTCAGACTAATAGCAGATCTGTGGGATAGACATATTGTGGGTGATGCTCAGATTTTTCCTCCATTATTTATAGCTACATGGCCCTGAGAGGGCTTCCCTTGTGTCCAAAATTTCTCACTTATAAAGTACTCATTTTACAGTTGAAATAAAAGTGAATATAAAGGGCTTTGTATAATGCCTTGAACATAGTAAATGTCTAATGGAAGGTCAGCAGTGATGCTCAGTGACAATGATGGACTCATAGGCCCCGAGGTTTATCTAGGATAGTATTCTTTATTGTGGGATTTTTTAAAAACACTCAAGGAGATTGTAGGGTGTTTGTTTTATAATTAAATAGGACCAATTCACAGTTAGTAAAACAAGTTGTCAGAGGCTAAAGCCTTAGGAAGAGGATGAACTTGAGATGAAAGACATTTAAAGTTGACAAGAAATCATGCTGTCTGTATAATAGGATACAAATGAAAAGAAATACTTTGTTAGAGTGGTGGAGGTAGAACAGGAGGCAGGTGTGATAGTGGGGGAAAGAATTAAATGATTGTTATATTTTGAGCTCCCAATACAGTACCTGGCATTTAGTGCCTTTTAAATGAGTGATGGATGTTTAATAGATTTACCTTCAGGATAAACTGCCAAAAATTTTGTACAAATTCAGAACATTGGTAAGAGGCTGAGGAAAAGGAAGAAAAGAAATATGTGCATTTAAGAGAGGACTACTCCGGAATGTTTTGAGTTGGGAGGAGAAAGGGGAGGTTTCCAGAATACTTCTGTTGCAGCTGTTGTCCACACTGCAGGGGAAGTTTAATGTGAAAAATTAGGGCAGGAAGTACATAAGAATATTACACTGATATCTTTGAGAGTATATTTAGATCTTTGATTATTAATCCAAGATCTTTTGGCTCTACCAAAGGCCAAAAGAGACGTAAAGGTGACTGAAGGAAGCAAGTTACCCTTTGTAACTTGAGCTTTCATAGCCTTAGCAAAACTCTTAAACACAATTGTACATATTAATAAAATGCACAGATTTTTAAGGGACAGTTTCCTTAATTTTGATCCCTGTGTAGGTTCATATTACTGACAGTCCAATTAAGATATTGAACATTTCTATCACCGCAGAAAGTTCGCCCATCACCTTGGCAGTGCCTTATCCAAAGCACCTACTGATGTGACTTCTTATACTGTCATGTATTTATCCTGTTCTAGAAATCATGCAAGTATAATCATGCAGTAGGACTTTTTGTGTGGGTCTGGCTTCTTTTCACTGAGCACAGGTCTGTGCCATTCTAACCTTTTATATGAGGATTGCCTGATTCTTTCTTTGTACTGGTGCCAATAATAATTTGCTTCGTACCCTCAAAATCACTGTAACATCTGTACAAGTAAACTAACTAGTTTGGGAAACACTAGTGCCCATTCTCCCTGGGTTCAA